TCATTTTTCATTTTTCATTTTTCATTTTTCATTTTTCATTTTTCATTTTTCATTTTTCATTTTTCATTTTTCATTTTTCATTTTTCATTTTTCATTTTTCATTTTTCATTTTTCATTTTTCATTTTTCATTTTTCATTTTTCATTTTTCATTTTTCACTTTTCTTTTTTCTACAATTAATTATAACATAACTATAATTAATTTGGCTTTAACAAGAATGAGTTGTCTTTTATTTTTGTAAATATTTAGTGAATTATTTCGGGATTGTTTTCGAAATACAAATTGAAATGATTATTTACCATATTCAATTGTTTTTAATATTTTTTGCAATTTTTTGACAAAAAAACAATGTAAAACTACTAACCTTAAATACTTTTTTTTTACTTTTTAATAATAATATTAATTTTGTTATAGTTTTAATAATAAAAACTAATAAATAATAACAATTATTAATTAATATGATAATTATTATTAATTAGTTTCACCAGTTATTATTTAATTTAATAAAATAACTTACAAAGAAACTATTTTTATAATAAGAGAAACGTCATTGGTTTAATATATTATTCATTAGATATTTATAGTATATAAATAATAGTATTAATAATAAACTATTCAAATTGAGTATTGAATGATTATAAGACACACTCAATAAAAAGGAATTAAAAAGTCAAACAAAACAAACGAGAATGAAGACAGAAACAGTTATCACAAACAATATTCCACATTCCCAATTACAAATCTCTTTAGCGCGTATCGAGGCTGCTCAACAATTACTTTGTTTTGATGATGAAAACGCATTTCCACAAGAATCAAAGCTTGCTGAGTATATCATCACTAGTCTCCCAACTCATATCCACGTCATTTTGGACACAACAAAATTGACAGATGTGGAAATCCGAATGATCAAAGATCGATTGACCATTATCAACACCTATTTGACTGTATTCCGTCCTAATACACAAGTCATGTACTCCATATACGATGTCGCTGATGATTCTTATAATGAGAACAAAAAGTTCGACTTTTTGGAGGGACAACTAACTAACAAGAAAGAAAGTAAATCCGGCTATGTAGCGACTTTTATCAGTAGTATTTTCGAGCCAAAGAAACCGACTATTTTGTCATTCCCAAATAATACTGAAATGGTCATTCACTTCGCCTCAAATTACCAAGTCAACAGAGAGATGACACAAAGCCTTGGTAACTTCACAAGCGGAATTAAATACTTTTTGTTCAATAAACACAAACAACAAATGACATCTTCCATTGTAACTATCCCGTATACGTCTTGCTCATATTTGCGTAACGCTTTAACACCGTTTTTGAATTCCAGAGCGGCTTTTATGGAGGATTCAAAACTCGCAAACATGACTGGGGTGTTGTTCACACCCGTTCCAGGGACGTTTGAAAATGTTAGAGACTTCAGAACACGTGTAGATACATTCCAGAAAGAGGGTGTCACTCTTAAAATTGGTTCATTGCTACACAGTGGGCATAAGTTCAAAGTGTGGAAAGCCGAAATGGAGAGAGTTGTATTAGGCGAGAAGGGAGACGAGAGACACGAAGTCAGAAGTGTTGTTGTGAAGATGTTTAAGAGACCAGAGTTTTGTATAACGAGA